CACACATCCCTTCCTCCACCACAACCATCCCCTCCTCCACCACAACCATCCCTCCTCCACCACAATCATCCCTCTCCTCCACCACAAACATCCCCCTTCCTCCCACAACCATCCCCCTCCCCTCCACCTCTCCCCTCCACAACTAAGTTTTTTGTAAGTGATTTTTTTTGTTCTCGTATTTTTTCTTATTTTTTGTTTATTTGTTGATTTTAATGTTTGTTTGTGATATAAGTTGGGAATAATAACAACAACACTAATAATAATAAATACAAAAAATAAAAATAAAATAAATAATAACAAGAATAATAATCAATAAAAAATAAAAAATAACAAATAAATAACAACGACAATGTAAAAAAAAACTTAAGGTAAATAAGACCAAAACATTATTATTTTTACACTAATTTTCTCTATGTGCTTACACTCTTACAGCTACTAAGGCACGTGCAATGATCTGACTTACACACTAGCGAACCATATTGGGCGAGCCATATTGGGCGAGTCATACTGGGCGAGTCATATTGGGTGAGTCAGACTAGGCGAGTCATACTAGGCGAGTCATATTGGGTGAGTCAGACTAGGCGAGTCATACTAGGCGAGTCATATTGGGTGAGTCAGACTAGGCGAGTCATACTAGGCGAGTCATATTGGGAGTCAGCATCTGCTAGTCATATTGGGCGAGTCAGACTAGGCGAGTCATACTGGGTAAGGGAAACCGAGCTCTTTGTTCTGATAGGCCCCAGTTGTAATAGGTTTTAGTCTGATAGGCCCCTGTTCTAATAGGTCCCAGTTCTAATAGGCCCCAGTTCTAATAGGCCCACAGGTTCTAATAGGCCCCAGTTCTAATAGGCCCCAGTTCTAATAGGCCCCAGTTCTAATAGGTCCCAGTTCTAATAGGTCCCAGTTCTAATAGGTCCAGTTCTAATAGGCCCCAGTTCTAATAGGCCCCAATTCTAATAGGTCCCAGTCTAATAGGTCCCAGTCTAATAGGTTCCAGTTCTGATAGGTTCCAGTTCTGATAGGTCCCAGTTCTAATAGGTCCCAGTTCTAATAGGTCCCAGTCTAATAGGGTTCCAGTTCTGATAGGTCTATTTTCTCGACATTCCAATTTTAATAGGCCCCAATCATACCACCAAACTAATCCATTCCAAACCTAACCTAACCTAACCACAAGGATTGGAACACCCCCATTAGAACTAGGACCCATTAAGATCCAAATCCACCAATCCTAAATAGGTTAAATTGGGGTAAAATTGGATCCTATTAAATGCTAAAAGCCTCAATATGTGACCAGTTTGTAAAATATACATAAATAATTTACAATTTACATCTACTTTTGCATTTACGTTTGTGTGTAAATCTTCTCTCTCTCTCACACACACACACACACACACACACACACACACACACACTTATCCTGAATGAGTACGAGTCAAAATGCACGCGGACGAGGGTACATGTATAACCCTACCCCTTCCCCCTACCCCTCCTCCCACTCCTCCACACTCCCTACCACTCCCCCTACCCCACTCTCCCTACCCCTCCTCCCACTCCCCCTACCCCACTCTCAGTATACAGACTCAGGATTCACCGGGACAGACAGACAGACAGACAGACAGGTAATAAATATACTAAGTGTAGATGAAAACAATAATGGGTGGAAATCTTTGGCGGATGTTAACTAGACTAATTACCATTACGTTCATGACACCACGGACATCATACACACACACACGGACATGAACACACACACACACACACACACACACTGATGGTATAACACAAATTATTTAATAAACTATTAATCTAACACATATTTAGTAAGTTCTTCATAATACATGTTACCAGTGTTATAATGTTCTCCATAACACAAACTGTTCCTCTATAACAAGTTGTTCATGGTGTTGTTCATAAATATAAGTTCTTCACTACACAAGATGTTCATTAAGGTGTGTATAACTCAGGTGTGGTTTATTCATTCTCATAATTAACTCATAACGTTATTCACTCATTCATCACTTGGTCATGACAAACAGACTAACAGACAAACAGACAAACAGACTAACAGACAAACAGACTAACAGACAAACAGACAGACAGCTTAAAACACCTTTACACAGACTATTCATAATAACAATAACACAATTGGTATATAGTTTTAGATGGGCCCCAGGTCTTATAGGCCCCCAGATCTACTAGGCCCTTACCTTAACTATCCTAATTTAACCAATGGGTTCCAGGCCTCTTTAAGAATTGGGTCTCTGTTGTGATTGGATCCTAATCGAAATGGTTACGTTGGGGCCTAGTAAGTTGGGGTCTAGTAGGATTGGGGTCTAGTAGGATTGGGGTCTAGTAGGATTGGGGTCTAGTAGGATTGGGGCCTAGTAGGATTGGGGCCTAGTAGGATTGAGGCCTGGTAGGATTGGGGTCTAGTAGGATTGGGGCCTGGTAGGATTGGGGTCTAGTAGGATTGGGGCCTAGTAGGATTGGGGCCTAGTAGGATTGGGGCCTAGTAGGATTGGGGCCTAGTAGGATGGGGCCTAGTAGGATTGGGGCCCTAGTAGGGTTGGGGCCTAGTAGGATGGGGCCTATTAGCACGACTCTATACTTGTGGATGGAAGTGGAGGGTGATGAAAGGAAGGAGAGGAGGTGAGAGGGAGGAAAGGGGTGAAGGGAAGGAAGAGGGGTGTGAGAGGGAAGGGGAGGTGAAGGAATGAGAGGAAGGAAGCGGGGTGAGAGGGAAGGAGAGGGGTTGAGAGGGAAGGAGAGGGGTTGAGAGGGAAGGAGAGGGGTTGAGAGGGATATGAGCGGGAAAGGGATGGGAGGGGGTTATGGGGTTCTTTCTAACCAATCAGCCAACACATTACATTCATCATATAACATAACATTACAACAGCGAGTCATTACAACAAGACTAATTACTCAACTACCCTTAAGAACTACCTCGTTTGATTCAGGAGTTGCTTTCTTATTTACATTAATATTAAAACTTGTGCAAATTGAACTAAAAATACGTCTTTGGTGCTTTACATGAATAGTGGTGAGAGGGGATTAACCCAGGTAACAGCGTACACAGGTAACAGCAGCGTACACAGGTAACAGCGTACACCTGTAACAGCAGCGTACACAAGTAACAGCGTACACAGTTAACAGCGTACACAGGTAACAGCGTACACGGTTAACAGCGTACACAGGTAACAGCGTATACAGGTAACAGCGTACACAGGTAACAGCGTACACAGGTAACAGCGTACACAATTAACCTCATTTAACATAAACATCTACAGCTGTCTGACACACCGATGGCAGCTCAGCACAGCGGCCAGTGAGAGTTACAAGCATAATAGGTTTGTATCTGTGAATATATATATATACATGTGTTTATATAGTACTAAACTGATTGTGGCTATAAAGGAGAATTATCGTCGTTGTTTTTGAGAATTAGGTCACAACAGGTCACCGAGGGGTCACCGGTGGTAATTATCAGGTCACTTGTAAAGACACTGGGTCATTCTTCTCAGTTGGTGAGTTGTCCTTGGGTGACTTCCGGTCAGTAAAGGTCATGTGGTAGGTCACGGTTGAACAAAGGTCATTATCGTGTTATTATGACGTCATTACCGGAGGTCACCTTAGGTCATGTTGGGTTAGTGTGTTGTTAGGTCATTTTTGGGTTTGTTTTGGTTTTTGTTGATAATAATTATGACAGAACATTACCTGTTCATTGTATGTCACCTGAGGTCATTGTATGGGACATTATTCGATCATTACAGTCATTATTTGTCATTGTGGATTATCATCAGTCATTATTTTCTACTCGTTACAAATCATCATAGTTTATCTGGGATTAATTATAGACCATTGTAAATAATGAGTTAAGGAGAGTTAATTTAGGTCATTATAATTTACCTAAAATCACTACAATACATCATTGTCAATCACTATTTAGGTACGTTTGTTTTAGGCCAAGTGATGTGACCAGGTATGGTGGTGGCCAGGAGGTGTGATGGTGGCCAGGAGGTGTGATGGTGGCCAAGTCTTACCTCACTCATATGGCCACATTAAAACCCTCGTCACAAAGGTCATAATACTTAGCTTCCTTGAGAATAAATTAAAACAAATAAATAAAGCATAATTATCAAATCTTATCTTATTAACTTAATCAGACCAGTTTACTTTTTTAAGGTAAAATGTGACTTTTGAGTTTTGGTTTTAATTATTGTTAATGTTTCTGACACTTTGTTGGTAGCAAATAATTGACCAAATAATTAGATCACCTGGAAATTAACCCACCTGGTTTACTTCACCTGATGATTAAACACTTTAACATTACCTGGGGAGGGGATGGATTAGGTTAAAGTTAGGGTGGTTAATCTTCAGGTGATCCGAAAGAGTTAATACTGTCAGGTGAGGCATCAAGTAAGAGACAGGTAGACACGAAATGACAGGTGGGGTGTCTTGTCTGTCTATTCCGGGAGGTGGAGAGAGAGAGACGCGGTGCTTTAGACAGTGTAAGAAGACCCAGACAGACAAGTAACTGCCCTTGCTCCTGTCTTGTTTCTTTCTGTATTCATCTTGGCGAGTTTTTGTCTTCTTGTTTCAGAGTAAGAAGAGTTGTCTTTAGTCATCGTCCATGTTTTCTTCTTTACTCGTCTCCTCGTCTTCACTTTTATTCTCCTCTTTCTTTTCCTCTTTGTCTTCTTCTTCTTCCTCTTCTGTACTTATCCTCCTCCTCTTAACGCTGAGGTCTTGCGCTTCCACGACTTCTTCTTCGTCTTCGTCTTCCTCCTCCTCCTCTTGTTGCTTATGCCGATGCTGGTTCTCTTCTTCCTCCTCCTCCTCCTCTTCCTCCTTGTGCACGAGATCGACGTCAATGTCGCTGTCATCATCTCGACTACTCAAGAAACGGCCAGCCTGCCCGGCACACTTGAGGAAGGATCTCGCTTGTGCCGCCATGATTTCCCTCGCGTGGGCGTGGGCGTTAGAGAGGTTGATGGGCGTGAGTGTCAGGTCACGCCCGAGGGAGAAGCCCGGGTACTGAGGGTGAGAAGGCTGGCGGGGAGCAGAGGTGGAGGTGGGGGGCGACTCGACATCCTGCTCTGGTGGAAGTGGGCGTGTGGGTGGTGCTGGTGGTGGTGGTGGTGGTGGGTGGGGAGGTTGGGGGCGGCGGCAGATGCGGGTGAAGGCGGATGTTGGCGATGGGAAGACAGCTGATGGTGAAGAGGTGGTGGAGGGTCGAGACAGCCCTGGGAGGCGGTGATGATGGTGGCGCCCCAGGTGGTGGTGTGGTGGTGGTGGTGGTGTCCGCCAGGGGTGATACCGTCGGCAGTGTTGGTGGAGGCTGTTGGTGTTGGTGGTGGTGTTCCTGTGGTGGTGGAGGCTGTGGTATGGTGAGTAGTGGTGGGGGTGGTGGAGGAGGAGGGCGTTGTTGGGGGTAGTGGTGAGGGGGAGTGTGGCGACATATCCGGACTGGACACGACTTCTGAGTAAGGAGAAGTCGTCCTGGGTGAGTGAGGGTGAGGGTCGTCGGAGTAAGGGCGGAGGACACTCAGCTGCTGGTGACGCCTCCACTTGGCCCGTCTGTTGGAAAACCACACCTGTCAGGAACCAGGGGGAGAGTTACTCACTGGGCGGGCACACCTACCCCAACTCTACTCCTACTCCACTCTACCTCACTCTACCTTACTCTACCTCTCTACCTTACTCTACTCCACTCTACCTTACTCTACCTCACTCTACCTTACTCTCTCCTCTACCTCACTCTACCTTACTCTACCTTACTCTACCTCACTCTACCTTACTCTACCTCTCCTATTTGTTCTACCTTGCTCTTGTCTTCATCTTCCTTCTGCTATGACACCTGATTTGAGTTTCTGTTATAAGACATCTACTATGAGAAATCTCCCATGGAACACCTGCTACAAACACCTGCATGCCATCAGAAATCGGGTATAAAACACCTGCCATTACCTAAATAAACATCTGATATTACATGCATACTATGGGACACCTGCTGAGAAACACCTGCTTACCTGTACACCTGTTAATTGCTTACTGTTAATGTTATTAATTAAAAGATTACATGTTCTTTGCTTAGTCATTTACACAGGTTAATTAGGCCCCAGTTCTAAGAGCATTTAACCCAACCTAACCTTACCTAACTTAACCTAACCTAACTTAAAGTAACTTAACCTAACCTAACCAAACATGAATTAACATTAAAAATTTAGTCCAGTCTTATTAGGAGAGAGAGAGAGAGAGAGAGAGAGAGAGAGAGAGAGAGAGGAAAACAGGCGGGAAAAGAGAGACAATTAGAGAAAGCGAACGTAAAAGAGAAGGGGAAAAAGAGGGAGAAATTTCAACACCACAGAAAAGGAGAGAGAGAGAGAGAGAGAGAGAGAGAGAGAGAGATATGACATCAGTGTTGATATTAATCCAAACCTGAGCAAGACTTAAGACTTATTACAATAACTATAAATAAATCACTAAACTATATTTTATCAACAACATACACAAATAAACAGTTTATTCTAAGCTTCAAAACACAGTAAACAATGAGGTGAAATAACGCATAGAAACAGTTGTGGTTAGTGATGTACAATTTCAAACTAACGTGAATGTTTTGAACTGTGTGAGATGGTGTTTTGGTTTGTTTATCTGTGATTCCATACAGCACAGTTGAGGGTGTTTTTGTGATGTGGAGTTGATTAGACTTGTGTTTATATAGTGATGATTGTGTGTGTGTGTGTTTTTTGTCCATGTGGCTGTCTCTCTCTCTCTCTCTCTCTCTCTCTCATCCACTTACGAACCAACCACTTCCCCACACTCACCCATCCCTTCCTATACCCATCACCCATCCACCAATCACACCCACACCTTTACAACTCCTACTCCTCACACCTGCTCCCAATCTACTACCTCCTCACACCCTCACACCCATCCACCCCTCACCCCCCACCTACACCAGCATCCACACCCCTACATTCCACCCCTCCCCCTTACCACCCTCCTTTCCCCCCACCTCTTCCTACCCCCACACACACACCCCACCCCCCCACACACACACCCGCCCACGATCTCAGCCAGGTCCTGTAACCTCCGCACCCGCCTCAGATAACAATGTCTTCTCAGCCAATCTCTCACGTGTAGGAAGGTCAGGGTACTGCGTCTTCTCAAATTCCTTCTCCAGCTCCTCCAGTTGGTCAGGACTGAAGGTGGTGCGATTTAGCGGAACCTGACCTCATTGGCTAGCTGTGAGGCGGAGGTCAGGTCAGACGGGGTCAATGGTAGCTGTGATAACGACGAGTGCTTATGGGATGGTGAACCTGTGTGTGTGGAGGAAAAATAGGTTAGGTTAGGTTAGGTTTGGTTAGGTTAGGTTAGGTTTGGCTATACTTGATAATAAACGCTGTTTATAGATATGAATGGGGGAAGTCCTCTAAGGTCATGGGGAAGATGGGGATTATTAGGGGGAAGTTTTGTAATTAATGGGGAAATGGGGACTTATGTCTCTCAGGTCTTAAGGAACATAGGGAGTGCTAGCGAAGAGTCATGATGGAGAAATAACCAAGTGTGTTTGGTCATGGGGAAGAGACAAGGTTATACACAAGGGAAGAGAGAGGGAAGGAGAGAGATAAAAGGGAAAAAGGAGAGACAAGAGAAAGAAAGAGATAATGAAAATGAATGAAGATTTACGGACACTAGAGAAGAGAAAATGAATAAAGAAGAGTAGAGAAATATGCAGAAAATATTAATATAATAGTTTGTTTATTAAATGTTTCAGTAATAATAATAATAAAAAAAAAATATATTGATTAAATGGTGAATATTATCAGGAAAAAAAAGTACAGCCCTCTCTCTCTCTCTCTCTCCTTAATAACCCTCCTCTCACTCCTCTCACTCTCCTCCCAACAACCTCCTCTCACCCCAAACCCCCCCCCAACAACCCCTCTCCCCTCCACACCCTCCCCTCCAACAACCTCCTCTCCCCAACAACCCCCTCACTCCTCCAACAACCCCCTCTCACTCCTCCAACAACCCCCTCCACTCCTCCAACAACCCCTCTCACTCCTCCAACAACCTCTCTCCTCCTCCAACAACCCCTCTCACTCCTCCAGCAACTCCTCCTCACTCAACTCCTCCCTCCTCCCTCTCCTCCTCCCCACCTTCACCGTCAGAGTGGTTCCCAGATGTGGCGGCTGCGTCTTTGGCTGCAGCGGCGGCGGTGTTGTGGGCGGCCTGTTCGACGGTGGCGGCGTGGAGGGGGAAGGAGGAGCGAGGGGGAGGAGGGCGGGGTTGGCCCAGGGAAAGGCGTATGGGTGGTACAGCCCGTAGCCCGCAGCCCTGGCGAAGTCTGCAGCGGCCCTCTCAGCTGCCCGGTTCCTGAAGGAGAGGAACTGGGTTAGTACCTTGGTCTGGAGAGCTGCAGTACATTGGCCCCAGTCTTAATACATGCTGTCTTGTACATTTGCCATATGCTTTGACATTATAGCCCCTTGTTTAATAGGCCCCTTTGTCTTAATAGCCCCTTGTCTAATAGGCCCCCCTTGTCTTAATAGCCCCCTTGTCTTAATAGCCCCTTGTAATAGCCCCCTTGTCTTAATAGGCCCCCTTGTCTTAATAGCCCTTGTCTTAATAGCCCCTTGATAAGCCCTTTATATGTATGGGCCCAACTCTTAACTTATCCTAATTTAATCAGTAACTAGAACTGACACTCACTGAGATACGACCCGCGAGGACCGGCTTCTAGTCTTACTTGGCGAGTTACCTGGGTGGAGGGCCAGGTGACAGTGTACCACCCAACCTAACCTAACATGCACTTCCTACCTAACCCACTTCCTACCACATACACGCACCTTCCTACCCTCCTACCATAACACACTACCTCCTATCATTTCAACTATCTTCAAAACTGTGAAAATATTTGGTTAGTTGTATTATTTTGAGTATAGAGTGTGTATGAATGTGGCTATACTATATATGTATAATTATGGATATACAACATATAGACACGAATAAGTATACACGTTCATGATTGCTTCAGGTAAATACTATTAGTATGATTATAGATAAGATATTTTTTTCCTATAATTGTTGGTATAATCAGTTAAGGTAAGACACGTGGATGACTTTACGTGTAGGACTGATTAGGACACGGGGGACACGTAGGAGAGAGAGAGAGAGAGAGAGAGAGAAAAAAAGAGAGAGAGAGAGAGAGAGAGAGAGAGAGGACACCTAAGGATCCTGTTGATGGAGGACACGGAGGGCGCAGTAGAGTTGGTACACACGCTCTGAGAGTTCAACTTCTCCCGGTCCCCAGGCGAAGATGGTCAGGTTCTCTCTCTTGTACTGCTCGATCTTGTTCACCACCTGCGGCGTCGCCACCTTCGGCTTAGACCCCCGATCATCCCAGGCGGCCGTAGCGACCCTGTGACGGGAAAGGGCGTGGTCAGAGGGAGGAAGGGGGCGTGGTCAGAATGAGGAAGGGTGTGGTTTGAGAGGGGCGTGGTCAGGAGTGAGAGGATGTGGTTTGAGAGGAAAGGGGCGAACAGGTGTGGCCAGGAGGAGGAGTGTGGCTGTGGATTGGATCGTTATATTGGGAAGTAACAGTGACAACAGTACTATTAACAGAAACAACAGAAAGGAGGAACATTAACAGCTAACAGTAACACCATATAAGCAACACACACACACACACACACACACACACACACCACCCACCTAGCAGTTTACTGACGGCTCCCTGCTGGGATACCATCTGCTGAGCCAACTCGTACTGACGGAGGGACGGGAGGGAGTACCGAGTCAGGTCGAGTGGTGACGCAGGCGACAGAAGATGAGGACGTGGATAGACTGGAGCGGGAGTAGAGATCCCTGAAGGAGCTTGGCACTGTACCTGATTAACGAGAGAAATAAACTGAATAAGAAGTTGCTTACAATTATTTTTTTACACTAATATTGGAGGAAAACTTGGACGATGAAATTGTTTATGTTAAGTGTTTGTGTTAATTGTTTATTTTACGTGTTTATGTTAATTGATTGTTAATGGTGTTTGTTTATTGTTGTTTTTTAATGTTCAGAATTTAATAAGGAAAAATTGAAGTATGTTAGTGTATAATTTAATACAATTATCATCATTAATGTTACTCGAGGAAGAGGATGTGTAAGACGCGGTGTATTAATGACTGTAATTATTATGTTAAATGGTGCTAATATTACTGAGGGAAAACAGCATCAGGAGAGTGTGGTCTCGTTACAAGGTATGAGGTTAGGTTAGGTTAGGTTAGGTTAGGTGAGGTTAGGTTAGGTGAGGTTAGGTTAGCGTTAGGTTAGGTGGCGTTAGGTTAGCGTTAGGTTAGGTTAGGTCAGATTAGGTGAGGTTAGCTTAGCGTTAGGTTAGGTTAGGTTAGCGTTAGGTTAGGTTAGCGTTAGGTTAGGTTAGGTTGAGGTTAGGTTAGGTTGAGGTTAGGTTAGGTTAGCGATAGGATAGGTTAGGTTAGGTTAGCGTTAGGGTAATTAAACTTCAGGTAAAATAAGCTGTGTGTTCATGACTTGGTAACAGTGATGAGAGGATGCTGGTAATACTGTATCAAGTTAATAGTCTGTAAAAAGAAAATAGTTCAATAAATGTAGACACGAGGAGTAAAGGTGAACACATGTAGACGTTAACACACACACACACACACACACACACACACACACACACACACACACACACACACCTGCAGATATGCACACCTGTACAACTTTCCTAATATGAATATAAATAGTTTTGTCAATATTGTCTATGGTGGGCGTCTGTTGTATAGACACAGGAGGTGGGGAGGAAGAGTGGTGTGGGGAGGAAGGGAGTGGGGTGGGAGGAGGGGTAGGGGCAGATGGGGAGAGAAGTAGAGTGGGGAGAGGTGGGAGGAGAGTAGGGTGGGAGGAAGGGGAGGGAGATGGGGGAGGAAGTAGGGTGGGGGGAGGAGGGGTAGGAGATGGGGAGGAAAGTAAGGTGGGGAGAGAAGGAGGAGAATAGGGTGGGGAGGAAGGGTAGGGAGAGATGGGGAGGAGAGTAGGGTGGGAGGAGGGGGAGGGAGATGGGGAAGAAAAGGTAGTAGAGGTGGGGAGGGAGGGTTGAGAAGATGGGGAGGAGGAAGGGTGGGGAGGAGGGGTAGGGAGAGATGGGGAGGAGAGTAGGATGGGGAGGAGGGGTAGGGAGAGATGGGGAAGAAAATGTAGTAGAGGTGGGGGAGAAAGGGGTTGAGAAGATGGGAGGAGGGAAGAGTGAAAATCAGATCAGTGACACTCCCTACAGCTGCCACACTCTCCTCAGGTACACTAACAACAGTAGCGCCACTAATAGCAACAGTAGCGCCACTAACAACAACAGTAGCGCCAATAACAGCAGTAGCGCCGCTAACAGCAACAGTAGCGCCACTAACAGCAGTAGCGCCACAACAACAACAGTGGCAACTAACACAACAGTAGCGCCACTAACAGCAACAGTAGCGCCACTAACAGCAACAGTAGCGCCACTAACAGCAGTAGCCTAACACACAAGTAGCGCCACTAACAAACGCAAAACGTAGCGCCACAACAGCAACAGTAGCGCCACTAACGCATAGTAGCGCCACTACAACAACAGTAGCGCCCGCAACAGTAGCGCACTAACAGCAACAGTAGCGCCACTAACAACAACAGTAGCGCCACTAACAGCAACAGTAGCGCCACTAACAACAACAGTAGCGCCACTAACAGCAACAGTAGCGCCACTAACAGCAACAGTAGCGCCACTAACAGCAACAGTAGCGCCACTAACAGCAACAGTAGCGCCACTAACAGCAACAGTAGTGCCACTAACAACAACAGTAGCGCCACTAACAGCAACAGTAGCGCCACTACAGCAACAGTAAAACGCGCCACTAACAGCAACAGTAGCGGCAACAGTAGCGCCACTAACAGCAACGTACGCCACTAACAGCAACAGTAGTGCCACTAACACAACAGTAGCGCCACTAACAGCAGTAGCGCCACTAACACAACAGTAGCGCCACTAAGCAACAGTAGCGCCACTAACAGCAACAGTAGGCCACTAACAACAACAGTAGCGCCACTAACAGCAACAGTAGCGCCACTAACAGCAACAGTAGCGCCACTAACAGCAACAGTAGCGCATAACAGCAGGCCACTACACAACAGTAGCGCCACTAACAGCAACAGTACGCCACTAACAACAACAGTAGCGCCACTAACAGCAACAGTAGCGCCACTAACAGCAACAGTAGCGCCACTAACAGCAACAGTAGCGCCACTAACAGCAACAGTAGCGCCACTAACAGCAACAGTAGTGCCACTAACAACAACAGTAGCGCCACTAACAGCAACAGTAGCGCCACTAACAGCAACAGTAGCGAAACTAACAGCAACAGTAGCGCCACTAACAACAACAGTAGCGCAGCTCACAGCAACAGTAGCGCCACTAACAGCAACAGTAGCGCCACTAACAACAACAGTAGCGCCACTACAACAACAGTAGCGCCACTAACAACAACAGAGCGCAGCTCACAGCAACAGTAGCGCACTAACAGCAACAGTAGCGCCACTAACAACAACAGTAGCCCAACAACAACAGTAGCGCCACTAACAACAACAGTAGCGCCACTAACAACATACGCCACAACGCAACAGTAGCGCCACTACAACAACAGTGCACAACACAGCCCTACAGCAACAGTAGCGCCACTAACAGCAACAGTAGCGCCACTAACAACAACATGCGCCACTAACACAACAGTAGCCCACTACAGCAACAGCGCCACAACAACAGTAGCGCCACTAACAACAACAGTAGCCACTCTACCCTCTTATAGCAGGTTATGGCGGCGTGCACTATTATACTCTGATAAACAGTTGGCCTCAGGGGTAAACTACCTCGCCTCCCTGTTAGACTAGTTAACATCTGTTGATACCTTCTGTTTAACGGGTCTATCTGTTTATATATCTTCTGTTTAACGGACCGACCTCTTGATATCTACTGTTTAACGGGTAAATATATACTGTTAAACGACTCTGGTTATTAATTATCCCGTTTACGACTCTGCCTCTCTCCTGATAGGGGTAGGAGAACGGCTGGTGGGATAGGAGGAACGGCAGGTGGGGGTGGGAGAACGGCTGGTGGGGGGTAGGAGAACGGCTGGTGGGATAGGAGAACGGCTGGTGGGGGTAGGAGGGAACGGCTGGTGGGGTAGGGAGAACAGCAGGTTGGGGGTAGGGAGAACGGCTGGTGGGGAGTGGGAGAACGGCTGGTGGGGGTAGGAGGAACGGCTGGTGGGGGTGAGGAGGGCAGCTGGTGGGGTAGAATGGCTGGTGGGGTGGAGAACGGCAGGTGGGGGGTGGGAGGAGCAGCAGGTGGGGGTAGGAGGGCAGCAAGTGGGGTAGGAGGGAACGGCGAGGTGGGGGTGGGAGAACGGCAGGTGGGGGTAGGAGAACTGGTGGGGGGTAGGAGAACGGCTGGTGGGGTGGTAGGAGAGCAGCTGGTGGGGTAGAGCGGCATTGGGGGTGGGAGAACGGCTGGTGGGGTAGGAGAACGGCTGGTGGGGGTAGGAGAACGGCTGGTGTGGGGTGGGAGAACGGCTGGTGGGGGGTAGGAGGAACAGCTGGGTGGGAGTAGGAGGGCTGGTGGGGGTAGGAGGAGACAGCTGGTGGGAGTGGAGAACGGCTGGTGGGGTAGGAGAACGGCTGGTGGGGGTGGGAGAGCGGCTGGTGGGGGTAGGAGAACAGCTGGTGGGGTAGAGGAGCAGCAGTGGGGGGTAGGAGGAACGGCTGGTGGGGTAGGAGAACGGCTGGTGGGGGTAGGAGGGAACGGCTGGTGGGGGGTGGGAGGAACGGCTGGTGGGGGTGGAGAGACAAGCTGGTGGGGTAGGAAGGAGCAACTGGTGGGGGTAGGAGAACGGCTGGTGGGGTAGGAGAACGGCTGGTGGGGTAGGAGAGCTGCTGGTGGGGGTAGGGAGGAACAGCTGGTGGGGTAGGAGGAGAACGGCTGGTGGGGTAGGAGAACAGCTGGTGGGGTAGGAGAACGGCTGGTGGGGGTAGGAGAACGGCTTGGGGTGGGAGAACGGCTGGTGGGGTGGGAGAACGGCTGGTGGGGTAGGAGATCGGCTGGTGGGGTAGAACGGCTGGTGGGGGTGGGGAGAACGGCTGGTGGGGGTAGGAGGAGCGGCTGGTGGGGGTAGGGAGAACGGCTGGTGGGGTGGGGAGAACGGCAGGTGGGGGGTAGGAGAACAGCTGGTGGGGGTAGGAGAACGGCTTTATAATACTGCCCACTTTCCTAATCCCATCTGACCTCTGCGCCCATGTTAGACGTAGAACACACACACACACACACACACACACACACAAAACATACACACACACACACACACACACACACACACACACACAAAACATACACACACACACACAAAAAACATACACACACACACACACAACATACACACACACACACACACACATGTAGAGCAGCAGAAATAGCCCATATTTGGTTCTCCTCAGCTGTTAGTTAGTGCTGTAACAAAGCCTGGGTGCTGTTATTAGTGCTGTTCCTCCTCCTAACAGCACGCAGGAAATGGCTGTCTTAAAATGTTATAATGCCACTTAATTGGTAGTTCATTAGTGGTGCTTCCTGCCTCGTGCTTGTTAAGTGACGTACAGTGTGTTTACTGCTCTGTTGTATGTACACCTGTCTCGTACCTGTAATGAACGACTCATTAACACCTGTACTGAATACGTGATTAACACCTGTAATGAACGCCTGATTAACACCTGTACTGAACGACTGATTAACACCTGTACTGAATACGTGATTAACACCTGTACTGAACGACTGATTAACACCTGTACTGA